GACAGAGTTTAATGATTTCTACCCTTACCCTGTGAGCTTCATAAATCCTTATACTTACTCAGTTTGCTAGAAGCTCTCCATGCAACGCATGTTAGCCAGCTTGGCTTCTTTCCAGTTATTTTATGGTGAACCTCATTTGTCAAACTGTTGAGCCTATGTGGTATACCTGTTTGTATTTCTAAGATCTTAGGCTGCAGATGACTTCATCTTTCCTGGAATATTTCCCAGTCTGTCTTTTTCTTTTTTAAATCTAGTGTAGTATCTTTAGATCCTGGAATAAGCTCTGCTTTGTACCACGTTGTGCAGGAGGAGCAGAACAATTGGACTCTGATTCTTATGGCTGTCTGTCTGCCTCTGTATGGCTGACTGCACTGTCCTCCCACAGTGATAGGAACTCTTGGGGCTGGTTGCCACAGGTAAGGCTAAGGCATAGGGAGAATAGAAGCAGACACAGGGCGGGGACAAAAGAGAGAAGGGCTGTGGAATAGCAGAGTGTGACCAACAGTTGTCTCCATTTCACCACCTCTTGATCATACTTGTATTGTGAACAATGACTAGTATATTAATACAGTCACAGGTGTAGAATTAAGGTCCTAAAGGGACCTAGATCATCTCACTCAAACTGTATAATTTATAAATAAGAAAATGCAATATATAATGATAAAATGACTCATTATCCAAGTTTATAAAGCTAATGAATAGTAGAACTGGGACTTGAAATCAGTTCTGTTGATTCCAAATCCAGTATTTCATCTGCTAGTGCAACATCTAGTGGTTTGTTTGCATTTTTTCACCCACCAAATATTTAGTCACCAGCTTTTAGGTACATAAGATATATGTTAGGTCTGAAAGTCAAATTCATACACGTTAATTTAACGGTCAAGATAAGAGAATACACTAATATTGGTAGTACTAGGATGTGTTAAACAAGGTAAGAGTTAGATGTAGATTTTTAAAGCTTATAAAGTTTTTACTAACTTGTGTTTTATTACAAAAGAAATGCTTATTTATTATACAAATTTGAGACAATGAGCAAAAAGTTAAACCACACAAATTCTACCACCTAGAAAAATTTCTTTTACGTGTATGTTTGTATATATATATTTTTAAATTACAAAAGTCGAATCCTTCTAAACATTCTTTTATAACCTGATTGATAACCTGGAGAACCAGGCTGGGAGAACTCAGAGTGGCAGTTGTGAACACTGTCAGATCCTGCTGCAGCAGTTGTTGAAGGTAGGAGTGAGCAAGGTTTAAGGGCCATTTAAAGACTCAACTAGAATGGAGTTTGTGTTGAGGAATCTGAATTGGAGGATTAATGGTTCTTGGGTAGAAGGCAAACTATTGCCAGAATGGCAAGGCCTTTTTCCCTTCCTCTGGCCATATTGTTTCAAGGTTATTTCATTGGAAGAATTACCATTGGGATCCAAGAGTCAGTGGTTTGGATCTCTTAATTTAGCTAGAGATACAAGTGAGCTGTAGGGTGTAGAAGTAAGTTTCCTGATATCAGACAGTCACGGTCAATCTATTGAGGATCCTTCTTTCCGGACAGAATCCTGCTATAGTTGAAAAGGAGTATGGAAGTGAAAGTGTAGTCGTCAGCTCATTATGTAGTCATCAGCTGATTATTTATTTATTTAGGCCAATTTCTTGGCCTTTCAGGAACTTTTTTATTTGCTTCCTCTATTGGTTGCTTGCTTTTAAGATTGGCAAATTAATGTAAAATGAAGCTTATCATAAATTCTGAAGAGTTACATAAATGTAACTGATGGTATTAACACTGATGGTAAAAATGAGACTTTTTGTTTTGTTTCAGATGCAGGGCTTTTTTTTTTTGATGCCTACAGTGTTTCTTAAAATAATCTGTCTAAATATATAGAACTTTAAAATGTAGGTCTTATGAAGAACATTTATTTCTCTATGCATATATTTAGCCTTGGGTCTTGGATATTGCTTTGGAAATATAAAGCTAGCTCATGGGTAAATAGATTATTCTTGTAAGCATTTTTTAAAAAGGGGGGCAAATGTGCTTATGCTTTTTTAAAAGTGCTTTTCTTTTTGAAATAAAAGCTTACTGGAAAATTTTGGGTGTTGGTATGTGGGAGATAATTTGTGCTTTACATTGTTTCTGGGAAAAGATGTGTGTGATGTAAAATAGGTAAAATAACCAGTGATGATCTTTATTAAAAGATGCTTGCTTTGTGGGATTCGACTTTGGACATGTTTTTCCATTTTCCTTTGGGAATCTTTTTCTTCTAAATTTCAGTGTTGCAGTCTGTCTTAACCTTAGCCTTTTATGTGTATATTCTGTTAGGTATATTCTGTTAAAGGTTTGAATATGGCCCCTTTGTGACTTTACTCGTGCCTTATCCTCCTAGATTGTCCCTGGATGCATGAATGGGTAGATAAGATAGATGTAGATGGTTAGACTTATTTTTGCTTATGAGTCAGTCTGAAGATTGAGATCTTCATTGGATTCCCTTTTGATATCCTAGAGATTTCTCTTTACCCCTTTGCTACAGCTCTGGCCTAAGTAGACTTTGGAAGCCTTTTTATTTTCTTTCTCCATCTCTGAATTTGGATGTGGAATGTTAGAAGCGTTTGTTATCCTTCAACCCACTCATCTCCCTTATTCCTAATTGTTTTTCTTTGTACCACATGAAATAAGCTTTTTTACTTATGAAGGTAACTGATTTTACTTCAAGAGTCGGGCTGCTTTGAGGGTATTTGGTAAGTGCATACATAGTGACTCAGTATTAACTGATCTGTGTCCTCTTTGACCTTCACCCTGTCCTTGGTAAAATTTTAGAATTTCAGTAGTTGTGATGTCTTTCAGATATCTTGTTTGTTCAGGTACCTCACTACTTCATAGACTAATAATTTCTGCTCACAGCTAGTTTAGTCCAACATTGCTTAGGGGAAATGCTTTAAATTCATATTTCTTCATAGTAAATTAAGATGAAACGTTTCAGTCATACTAGTCTGTATTAAAATACAGTGAAGAAGTTTTTCAGTTGTGAAACAGATTCTTTGTAAAAGGAGTAAATGTATGCTTAATTACTTTCATCTCCCTGTTTAATACACAAGCATTTAGAAAACATGGAATAAACAAACAAGCACAAAGTAGACAAAACTACCCACTGGACTCTCTCAAATGCTGTTTTCCCCCTGGAAAACTTGACTCTCCCCTAACAGTTGACTAATTCCTAATTGTTCTTTAAATCTCAGCTCTTAGATGTCATTTTCTCAGGGCAGTTTTTTTTCTTTTTTTTTTTTAAACTCCTAGAGCACATTGTGTAGAGCTCTGTGTTATGTGTTCTTGTAGCTTCCCATATGTCTACTGTAGCAGTCATATCACTTTGTTGTTATTATGGGTTTTATGTCTATCCCTAATAGTCTGTAAGCTCTGTGACAGCCAGAACTGTATCTGTTTTATCACTCTATTTCAGTGCCTGGTATATAGTAGCCCCTTAATTTTTTTAAATTTATGAATTAACTTTAACCTTTTAATACTTTTGATGTTTTATTTCATACTTTTCTATGTGTCTGGGCACACATAAAAATATATAAACACATACTTTTGTAATGCTATTACACTGGAGTTTTTTTACCCTTTTGTGTAGGAATAGAATTTTGAAATCAACATGTGAGGTAAAAATTGCTCTTCAGTCTTTGGATTGACAGTAAGTCAACAAAGTCAGTTTCCCTCCAGTGTACAGTGATAAAGGTCTGCTTATATACAGTGGTAGTTGGTCTCTCTAGAGACTTATCCAAGGTCCTCTAAAACCAGACTCTCATGTACCTTCCGGCAATCTTTCCTGCTGTGCACTTACATACACTGGCTTCGGTTGAATTTCTCCTATCTTTAGTTTACTCCGTGTTTGTCTTGTATTTTCTGGTTCCCGCTCCTTTGTTCATGCCATTTTTCCTCTTTGGAATACCTTAGCTTTAACCTTTCTATCCATTTTTAAGGCCCACCTCAAATTCCATCTGCTGTGACATGTTTCTCTTTTTCTCTGGCTAACCCTTAGTGTCCTCCTTTCACTTCTGAGTTCATGGTGCTTTATTGCCAGTGGTTATCCTTTGACACTTGGTGATTTACCATTTTGGGACTGTTTTTTGAGTCTCTTGCTTTTGTGTGAGTTTGTCTTTTCTGGTAACCATATTGTTGGATCACTGAAGGCAGGGATATTCATCTTCTATTTATTTGTGTTCTTCACAATTTATACCTGGCACAAAGTTTCTCAGTAAATAGTTTATTTGATTAACTATAAAAATTTATTTGCCCCTCATATTTATAGCATGAACCCTGAAGAGAATTCTTTGTCTTTAAGAAATTTCTACAAATACCTGATTCTATTCTGTCTTACTGCTTTCATGTAATATCTAAGGTGTCCAGGAAATCTGTATATAAGTAGCACAAGAAGCTTAAATAACTATGGGGTGCCTTATGGCCCACTTACATAGAAATTTTTGATGGTGCACCTATATACTAGGTGAAGGAAGAGAAATCATGGATTAGAGGTAGTAAGTTTTTCAGCAGAGCAGAGATCCATTCCTTATAACTGATGCCTCTGAACTCTGAACCATGTTATTCCCAAGGTAGAAGAAAAATTTCCAGGAAGATGATTAGATTTCCTTAATGTATTGGAAGCCATGTTTATTAAATGATTAATTTTATTACATCAGTCTTGTGACTGGAATGAGAAATTGTCTCCTTGCTATAGGTAGACTATTATTTAAGAAATTCTTCTTAATTGATTTGTTTCTTCTACTGTGGTATAGCCTAAAAATCAATGGGAATTGTAACTAGTGATGAATTTTGAAAAAGGTGTTCAAGAGCCCTAGTTTTCTGTTGTCACAGATGTTAAAAAAAAATGGTATTCCTCATATTTACTAATTTGGTGAACTTGCTTTCTTGTTACCTGTTCATCAAACTGTTAAAATGTAAAGTGCAGATTGCATTAATGTGGAAGGGATTTTGTTTGATTTTTGTTTAGGTACAAAGAGGATGGTGAAGCTTTATTAATTTTGCTTCCCTCAGAAGAAAAAGGGATGGTGCAGCAGCTTCTTCAGAAGAAAGTGCCTGTGAAGGAAATCAAGTAAGAACTATTTGCTGTCTTGATATTATTGTTAGAAAAATGAAGGCATGAAATTATTATGCCTAATTATGTATACCTAATTCCCTCCTCCCTCTAAGCTTTTCTGCTGTATGATTTTGGACTTTTTGTTTGCTTTGTTTTTAACAACTTTTTTAGAAGACTGTCATCGGAGAAAACAAGATGAAAAAGAGACCTTGTTAGCATCAGGAGGCATTGATGGTTGAAAGAATTAAACCTCTTGGCTGAACTTATTTTTGGGGTTGTCTGTCTATTTCAGAGGATTGTCCTCTCCTGTCATTGAAGATGTTTAGATTGAGTGTCAGCAGAATTGATTGTAGTCTCACTTATATTGGGGCCCTTGAAACACCCTGCTTTCATTTGGAGGAAAGTAACTTGGGAGGGTGGTTAGATGTGGTGGAGGAGTGGATAAGAGTTTAGATGAAACAAGATTGGGTGTGAGTTGATAATTGTTGAGGATGAGTGAAAGTTTTCTACCTTTGTATATTTTGATATTTTCTGTAATTAAAAAAAGTCAAAAACACCTCATCTGCCATCACCTATTACCACTCCAGCTTTTCAGGAACAAAATTGTTCAGTCTAAAATCAGGGAAACAAGTGGAATTTCCTTTGTGAAACCTAGAATAGATGCTTGTAAGAATTACATTCTTTCCTGTAATTTTCATTCTAAACCCGGGCAGATTTAAGTAACCATTCTATTATGTTATGCCTGATTTCTAGATAAGGAAAACAATATTTATATCCTTGGCTACTTGTTTATTATTTGACTTTTGTTTTATGGTATTTGACTGAAAACGGAAATTGTATAAAAATGACGTTTGCTTTCATTTATTCCATTTCATTGATGATCCACCTCCCACAAGAGGCTACTTTCTATCCTTAAAGACTTAAGAAGTGAACATTGCTAATTGTGGTGTTAACCTAATCTTTCAGTCACTCAGCATGGGTTGTTTAGAGAAAATGTCAATTTTACATTTTTTTCCTGCATTATTCAAAATATGCAGAGTCAAATTTCTGTCTAGTGTAATTTCAGTCTAATCTGGGTCATAGATGAGAAATAATGTTATAGATTTTAAAAATACTGAGGAAAATAGAAAATACTGTGTACTGTTTTCAGTTTCTAAAATTGAGATGTCTTAGTTTAATCTTTATCTTTTTGTTACAAAAGAATCAATCCAGAAAAACTTACAGACATTCAGAAAAAATTGGAATCGCTTTTAGCTCAAGATCAAGATTTAAAAGAAAGAGCTCAAAGGGTAAGTCATTTTTGAATTTGATACCTTCAGTGGAATAGAGCATATAATAAAGTTATGTTGTATCATTTTCTACTACTTCTAGGTTGCATAGTTATGCTTCAGATATTCAGGTAGTATAAAGTTCAGGTAAGTTTAACTTATTCTTTAACTTTGAAAAAATTATGTATTTCTTTCTTTTTTTTAAAAAAATTTTTGGCTGCACCACGTGGCATGTGGGATCTTGGTTCCCCAACCAGGGGATTGAACCCGTGTCCCTTGCAGTGGAAGCGTGGAGTCCTAACCACTGGACCACCAGGGAAGTCCTAAAAGTCTATATTTCTTATAGTAACTTGGAAAAATGTCTATTATTTGTCCATAGTCTTGTCAGACATATAGAAAATACTCTGATTTTTAAGTGCACAATGGCTGGATTTCTAATATACTTGATAAGGTTATCAACTTTTGATTTCTTCAGTAAAGTTTTTATTAACTTCTGACTGCACTTTCTTGACTGTAAAATTAATATCTTATATTAGGTTAAATTTCTAGAAAGCATAGCACTCTTGCTAAATTCTCTTTAGGAATGAGATTTTAATCTATAAGTATGACAGTGTTCCCAAACTGCTTTTTTTGGACTTAGAAATCCTCTTGATTAGCAAATACACAAAGAATTGTCACTTTTAGTTATACTTATTTTTTAGTTCTTAGAGTACCCAGCAGTAGATTCTTTAGAAAAGGAAGATGTGAAATTATTTTGTGTTGTGCTTATAGCTGTCCAATCTTTGAATTGACAAATATTTGAGTCCCTGTTATGAAGTTCTTCATTTTCAGCACTTGTTTACTTATATTTTAGTTACGAGATCTACATAGGATATCTACATCTGCATCTCCCATAACTCAACAATGAGTTAAAGAATAGGGATTCAGAGATTGGAGGAAGAAAATAAAGAGGAGGCATGGAAAGGGCATCCTCAGTAGACAGAGGAGCCTGAGCAGAAAGTCAGTAGTCAGTCTTTTGTGTGATGGTTTTGAAACTGGATATTCTAAGCAAAGAAGTTTTATTTAAAGAGAAGATCTTAGGTTTAAAAAATTAACTTAGGTTATATTTTATCAAATTATTGTCACTGTGCTTAAAATACCAACATTAATGATGAAAGCTAAAATTCAGATGCTTAGTATGTGCTAGGCATTTAGCTGCAGCATGACCCTATTACATGACAGTTTGGTTTTTTTTTTTTTTTTACCTGACAGTTTGATATGCATTGTGTTATTTAATCTTGCCAACAACCTGTGAGGTAGGTGATATTGATTTGATTTTATAGATGGGAAAATAGGAGCTGAGGAAATTAAAAACTGTCCAGGGTGACGTAGCTATTAAGTGGCAGATCTAAGATTTAAATCCAGGTCTTTCTTCAGAACTTCCATGATACATCAGGAGAAGTTCCAGAGTATAAGAGAATCAAATAATGAACTGTGCATAGTTAAACTTCTGTAAGCTCACTTCACCTGAAATCTAATGAAAAGGGTCTTTAAACAGATTTTTTTTTTCTTAGTTTTTGGGCATATATTTAGGCATGGAAACATTTGTGTGCATGTTTTGCCTAGCAGACATACTTTAAGCTGGGAGTTAAATCTTTTAGAAGCTTTGGAAATAGTATGCACATTTGAAAATAACATACATGAATTCTGATGTCATGACTTTGTGCATACTTAGGTCATTCTATTATGAATCAGGAAATATGAAACACTGGAAGGATGTCGTTTCACTGGTTTCTGCATATAACAAACGAGCCTTCCAGAATAAGATTATAGAAAAGCACATTGAAATAAATGATGTGATTTACTGGGTGTCACGCATGGTTTAGCAGAACGGCTAACTGTTGTCAGCTGCAGCAAGCTATCTAATTTCATAGAAGCGATTTTCTAGCTTTTATTATAATCTGGATAGCACAAAAACAATAAGAAACTGGGATGATTTCTTGTGGACGATTGTAGGGGAAAAAATTATCCTTGAATTATTCATTTTAATGCCTATGGAGACAGGGAAAATGGTTTGAAGATTAGTGTAAATGGTTTGAAGAAAGGATTAGTGTAAAGTTAGAGAAAATGTGAAGTTTAGGAAATATAGAAATGGGAGTTAAATATACTTTACAAAAACTAATTTTAAAATCAAAAAATAAAACTCCTGCTTACATATGTTTCACTATCTTTGCTGCCTGTTTATTTTACAGACTGACAGAGGATCCAGGACCATGTTTACTTTTTAGTTTGTAATAGCTCTTGGTGTAAAGATAGTTTACTTTCTTTCTTTTTTTTTTAACACAAACAGAAGAAAAATATTACAAGTTAATGACAGATTACTTGAAATTATAATGACAACTAATTACTTGAAATTATAATAAAAAAGAAAAAGCTTTAGGAATAAACTTTTCCTGTTATGATTTTATTAAGCTTAATTTAAGTACAGTAAAATTTTGTTGTAGTAGTCAAAGGATGTTTTCAAGTAATAATTATTACTTATAACTGGTATTCATTGGTACTTAATGTATTCCAGAAGAAATGCCGAGTATTCTACATGCATTTTTCTCATTTAATTCTCATAACACTCTAAGTAGAAGGTACTGTTATATTATGTTTGATAGATGAGGAAACTGACAGAGAAATGAGAAACTTGCTCAGCTAGTAAGATGTGGAGCTCAGATTTCAACTGTATTATTCCAAAGCCTGTGTTTTTCCGTATTAATGCACCTGAATGATATTAACTTCTAGAATAGCTTTTTGAGAAGGTTATGTTTTATGTTGAGTTGGCTTGATGAAACCAAATTTAAAGTCTTTTCTAATATTACAATTCGAAAAAGGTAGGTTTTTTTGTTTTTGTGGGATGACATATACTCAGCTATTTTTGAGGTTTTTCACTACTGTTGAATTTATCCCTTTGATTAATTTTTTTATCTCAGTTAAAATTCATTTTCCATTTCTGACTAGTATATATCTTACACTTCAGCCTTTTATGTTTACAGTGTTTTGTCTCCTACATACGTTCAGTGTATCTGATGAAGGATAAAGAAATATTTGATGTGAGCAAGTTACCTATACCTGAATATGCCCTGTAAGTATTCATATTATAGTTTTGTTTGTGAATCCTTAAAGTTAGAGGGAATTTGTTTGAAACCTGGTTTTGAGAGTCTTAGTTTAAACCACTATGCCTTACCTTAAAAGAATCTGTTGAAGATTTGCAGAGAAAAAGATTATATAAACTGTAGAAAACTTGTTGAGCTTTCAGTTGTCAGGAATTTCAGTCAGGAAGAAGTTTCTTACTTGTAAGTATGAATTCCTGAAAGTTACACTGGCAGTTTCCTGTAGTTTGGGCTTAAAGGAGATGGAGAGCAATTGACAAGCATTCTTTGAAATCTTTAAATGTCTGTAGCCCTCTTGTTTTCTAAAAAGCTGGCTTGGTTTACTGTAGTTCTTTTTATGCTTTGGATGCAAGTCTCTTTGTCAGTTCTTCCCTTCTTTTAGATTGGTTTCCCATGCTGCTTATTGCCTGGATATTCTTTGTGTCTTGATGTTTCTTACATGTGCTCACAGTTACCATGGCAAAATGTCTCTCTTTAGTAATTGTGGTTACTATTATATGAAAACGGAACTCTTGGTCTTGTTTTGGCTTAGTAGTTGAAGGATTTTTTTTCCTAATCTTTTCAGGTATAAAGGAGGAGCATCTGTTTTTCAATGGGGTCCCACCTGTGGGAAAAGCATTGACAAAATCCTATAGAAGCACCCTTAAGGTTACTCATACTTTGAATGTCAGATTGAAATCTCCTAGTCTGTGATGAAATATGTACTTTCAAAGCAAGGTCTGTGTATTTGGCCTGCTTTCCAGGAATTCGAGTACCTTTACCTTTGAGTCTAATAAAAACTTGTATCCGAGTGAGCTGCTGTTTTCCATTCTTCATGTTACATTGCAAGTTCATTATAACAGGTAATTTGTCAGTTGTAACATTTTAGAGCCATTTAATTTGCTAGATAACAAAGTAAGGTCACTGACTTTTTGTTTAGGTAATGGATGGAAAATCACATGCCATGGATAACATGTTTTTGTTTGCTTATCTCTTTACGAATTTTAAAATTTCTGAATATGATTCATGGTTTAGGTTATTAGCTGATTTTTGTGCTTCATGAAATTCTATCCTGGTTTCCTGGTTTTCTCATTGACATAGCTGAGATATTAGCAAACAGGAGAGGCACAGGTCTTTTAATGCTGCAGGGCCATATTTAGAGGACATTTTGTTGCCACAGATGCCAGTAAATCTTATCTGTTTACAGTTGAAGACCTTTGCTTTTTGTTGGTGATGCTTAGGGAAGCAGAAAGTTAAATTCTGAGCCTAAATTACTGGTACAGTTTAACTTGGTGTTTTAATTTAATTTTTGTGGATTTTAGATGTATAATTTCCTTGATCTATAATTTCCTTTAGAAGCCTTTGATACCTAAAACAGTGCTATGTATGTAGGATAAAATAAAGGTTTAAAAAACTATTTTACTGAAGAAATATGTTTTATTTATTTATATTAGTAAAATACTTTTTTGAATATTAAAGAAATATGTTTTAAATACCTAATATATCTAGTTCATTGAGCTAGGCATTAAAATTATAGATGTGGGGCTTCCCTGGTGGCGCAGTGGTTGAGAGTCCGCCTGCCGATGCAGGGGATACGGGTTCGTGCCCCGGTCTGGGAAGATCCCACATGCCGCGGAGCGGCTAGGCCCGTGAGCCATGGCCGCTGAGCCTGCGCGTCTGGAGCCTGTGCTCCGCAACGGGAGAGGCCACAACAGTGAGAGGCTCGTGTACTGCAAAAAAAAAAAAAAAAAAAAAATTATAGATGTATGGTTATGTACTTCTACCTTAAAGGAGGTCCAAGTTTAGTAGCAGAGAAAGACATGTAAATGTAACTGTAATACATTGAGAGAAATGCTCTGATGCGTATTGAGTTTGTGATCCTAACTGTATCCCCTATAACAGTAATAATGACAAGTGCTCAGTAGTGGCTGCCTGTGTGTTAGGCACTATAATAGATGCATTGCCTCTGTGAACTCATTTTATTTTTATAATGACCCTATAATGTAGGTACTCTTGTCATGCCGTTTTGCAAATGAGAGGACTGAAGTATAGAGAGGTTTAATAATGTCCTTTGATCATATAGCTTATAGGTGACAGAGCCAGGATTTTAACCTCAACAGTTCTATTTATGAATCCAGGTTTTACAACCACACCTCTCAGTTTCTGTGAATTGTGTCTTATAGGAAAAAGGCAGTTGGTCCATTTTCTAATGTTAGCTTTTTATTATAGCAGGCCTTGCTTTAAGAGTTTCTTTTCAATCCATCTGTGGGAACTTAGAAGCTAGGAAAGACCTGACCATAAAGTAAATCTTGATCTTAGAAGGAGAAAATAAGATTTTTTTTTCTTTTTTGGTCTCAAGTTTAAAAATCCATTTTTATAGAAGTGATTGTGCCACATTATGTGTGTTAGAAGGGAGGATGATAATACTTGAGTTTATTCATTGCATAGAACTGTGTTTTGTTCTTTCATGGTCATGCCTTTTCCAGCTTTAGTGTTTATATTTTACAAAGTATTTTCATATAGTTAGTACATCAGATATTTATAACAGCTGTGAGATAGGCCTGGTAGGTATTGTTATCTCACATTTGAGAGAACTGAGGCTGAGAGAGTTATACTGGAAATAGGCAGATTTAGTAGTTGAACTGTTCCCTTGCTTCTGGTCTCATGCTCTTTATTTTGTTAACTGTGTTACCATCTTAATGGAAAATGGGGTATCTCCAGTATTTTCTGACAGGTATTCATTATCTTTTAGATCACCTAACGTGTCAAGATTGAGTTGTATCTCAGAGGAACATTTTCTTAAAAAAAAAATTTCCAAAAATCTCAACTCCTGAGAAACCATTTCATAAGAGACTCATAAACACACCATCAGTGTGCTGAGATAACTGTTTTCATTTGCTCGTATTTAAGGTCTCTTGGTCTTGCTGTGGCACCACGGGTAAGATTTCTTCAGAGAATGCAAAAACAACCCAACAAAGAACTGGTAGTGAGTCAAGATAATAAAGTAATTGAGCCAAGGACTCTCTCCCTCACCAATGATGAAGTGGAAGAATTTAGAGCCTACTTCAATGAGAAAATGGCTGTTCTCCAGAAAGGTGGGAAAATACCAGAAGGGACAGAGTACAGACTGGCTAGTGGTATTAGTGATGGAGAGGAAGAAGAGAAAGAATGTGAACAAGAAATGGAAGAGAAACTGGGAAAAACAAAAGGGTCTCAACCTCAGTCTGTCTCTAGCAACAAAGAGCCACAGAAGAACAAAGAAGTTCCTGTGCAGTTCTTGGACGGAGATGATGATGAGGAGGAGGACGGTGGCCTCAATGCTGACTTCTTTAAGGTGAAGAGGCGCAATGTGTTTGGGTTGGATCTTAAAGAGAATAAAACATTACAGGTAAGTTTACCCCTAGTGGAGGATCTTCTATTATTTCCTACCACTTCTTACCATGTGCTGCCTGTTGCCTTTGGGGAACTGTGGGAAAATAACCAGGAGAAATTTGTAGAATGACTTTCTTTGCTGTGAACTCTCCCTCCTTCTCCATCTTTAACGATGGAATAGGTGCTAAAGAATTCTCATTTTTCATAACTTTGGGAATTCTAAGAGGTTGACAGCTTTAATCTTTTCATTTATTGGTTTTCTGGTGCATGTTTTAAAAAGTAGCCAGTTTCATGATTATAACATTAAGTAATAAGGTGATGGGGTTTCGTGGTTTATGATGTGAGGATCCTTCACTGTGATTCTTAGTATACTACTTTCTGATTTAAATAATTATAAATATTCCTTACAACAATTCAATCTCTCTAAACTTTTAATGAGACATTTGGTTTTGGGCACCAATCCAGAATCTTAAAAAGAAAGCCAGCACTTCTATTTAAAGGCCGCTTATGAAGGTTTATTAAGTTTCACATAGGTCCTTTGTTTCTCACTAGGCACCTGCTAGGAGGAATAAAAGAGATAATCAAGGTAAAGCACCTGTTTCCTGGGGTACTTGTAGGTGCACAGTAAATATGTTTCTCCACCCTTCCCTTATTTTCGTTTTAATTTTGTATGCCTTATTCTTGATCATTTCTTTGGAGAGAACTGAATGAAAAATGAACCTGAACTCTTATTCCTTATACAATTCTTTATACAATATTGTGACAAGAGTCACAATAGGAAATATTAAATTTTGAACTATGAAACTTGGATAGGTGTTTTTAAAAATTAATTAATTAATTATTATTTTTGGCTGTGTTGGATCTTCATTGCTGTGTGCGGCTTTCTCTAGTTGAAGAGAGCGTGGACTTCTCATTGCAGTGGCTTCTCTTGCTGTGGAGCACGGGCTCTAGAGCACATGGACTTCAGTAGATGTGGCGCGTGGGCTCTAGAGCGCAGGCTCAGTAGTTGTGGCTCACGGGCCTAGTTGCTCCACCGCATGTGGGGTCTTCCCAGACCAGGGCTCGAACCCGTGTCCCCTGCATTGGCAGGCGGATTCTTAACCACTGTGCCACCAGGGAAGCCCTGGATAGGTGTTTTTTAAAGTAACTAAATAAAAACTTTAAAAGTAGCAAACATACTTACTGAGTACTTTATGTATTAGGCATTTTCTAAACATTATCTCATTTGGTCCTTGAATAACCCTGTAGGTAGGTACTCTATCATTATACAAGTAAGAGGAAAATAACGGAGATACAGAGATAATAAAATAGTGAGGTGCACAATTAATTATTGGCAAAGTCGGAGTTTGAATCTAGGTATTCTCAGTCTAATATTCGTATCTTGACCAATAATCTGTTTTTTTGAAGTCTGATTTAGGTTTTCTCTTACGTTTTCTTCTGGACTTTTTATAGTTTTAGCACTTGAGTTTAGGGCTAGTGTTCATTTCAATTTAATTTTTGTGTACGGTATGAGGTAAGGGTTGAGGTTCCAATGCCTCCCTCCCCCCATGTGGATGTCCAGTTGAACCAGTACTGTTTTCTGAAATTACTGTCCTTTTTCCATTCTAGTTACCTTGACTCTTTGTTGACCATGTACGTTTAGGTCTCTGTGTTGACTCTCTTGGTTTTATACAGTTACCGTTTCATAAATAACACCGGTGTCAATTAGTATAGCTTTATGGTAAATCTCAAGTCAGATAGTGTTAGTCTTCCAACTTGATATTTCAAAAAATTTTGAGCATTTTTAGACCATTGCATTTCCATGTAAGTTTTTGAATCAGCTAGTTAATATTTATAGAAAGTCTTTTCATATTTTCATTGAGATTGCATTGAATCTATAAATCTATTTGGGGAGAATTAACAATATTGACTCTTCTGATTCAATATATGACATATCTTTCCATTTATCTAGGTCTTCTTTAATATCTTTTAGCATTTTTTAATAATTTTAAGCATGTACGTCTTACCACATATTTTGTTAGATCCATCACTTACTATTTTATAGTTTTCAATGCTATTATAAATACTTCAAAAAATTCAGTTTCTCATTTTTTGTTGCTAGAATATAGAAGTACAGTTTTTGCATACCAGTCATTCTAAACTGTCCTGTTAAGTTCTTGTGGCTGTTTTTTGAGATTCTTTGGAGTTTTCTTTGGATCTTCTCTGTAGCTGGTCATGGTATTTGTGAATAAAGATAGTTTCATTTCTTCCTTTCCAATCTGTGTGTCTTTTATTTCATTTTCTTACTTGATTACACTGTATGTTGAACAGCAGTAGTGAGAATGGACATCATTGTCTTGTTCCTGTCTTAGAGAGGGGAAACATTCAGTCCTTTACCATTACATCTGATGTTAGCTGTAGGTTTTTTGTAAATGCTTTTAACGGGTTGAGGAAGTTCATTCTATTTCTGGCTGGTTTAGTGTTTTTATCAGAAATGGATGGTGAATTTTGTCAGATGCTTTTTCTGCACCTATTAGGGTGAACATAGAGTTGTTTTTATTTATTCTGTCAGCACATTGATTTTTCTAATGTTGAACCAACCTTAAATTCCTATGATAAACCTCACTCATTCGTGATGTGCTTTCCTGTATCTATTACAGGACTCTATTTGCTAATATTTTGTTAAGGGTCTTTGCTTCTGTGTTCATAAGGGATATTGGTTTGTAGTTTTCCTGTAATGACTTTGAGGACATGACACGTTTTAAAAGCTTTAGATACATTTTGCCAAACTGTCCTGCAGAGAGGTCATATTGATCATTGTCCCACTGGCTTTATGTCCGTGCCCATTTACTAACACCAACACCGAATATCCACATGTTTTTACTGTTTTGAAACAAACAGTTAGTGAGAAATTCAAACTTACTATTTCAATTTATTTTTCCTTGATTCTGTTATTGAACATTATTCATTTATTTATCCATTGTATAATTTCTGTGTGTGTATTGCTTGTTTTCCTCTCTCTTTTTTTCTCTTACGATATTGGTCTCTTTCCTGTTGATTAGCAAGATGTCCTTAAACTTTAATTACTATTCCTGGCTTTTAATTATTTTATACCTCCCACCACATTTTTTGCCTGCCTTCCTTACTAGATTTTGAATTTCCTGAAATTATTGTCTTACTGACCAGTGTGTGTTCACGGCTTGTTACAGTGTCTAGCACCTAGTGCAGATTTCACAAATGTTTCATGAATGAATAAGTGAATCACTCATATCTTCTTTCAGTTTGATAGTTTTATTTGCTGTGAATTATGTAGAATTCATATATGTAGAGTATATTCTTTGAAATCTATATTTTGAAACTGAGTATGATTTGCCTGATTGACTTACAATAATTCAAAAGGTATTGTTGAATTTTCTATAAACATGAGCAGAAATGACTTATTTGACTTGAATGATATAGCTGTGCAGGCCAAGCTTTGTAATTTAGATAGTAAATAAAAATATCTAATAGCAATGATAACTACTGTTATCATTGTTAACATATCACTGTTATTCTGTTAACTAAGAATATGTTTGCATAGCATAGTATAAAAAGTTCTATCTTGAAAATACCTCCTTTTTTTTTTTTTTTAGCCATAACAAATGGGAAATATTATAGTGTTTGTGTCAAATGTGAGGGAACTTTTGGGGCAGTTACAGGATTTTTAAGAAGCCAATAAAGAAATGTTTTTCTGTATCTTCCTGCACATTTCCTAGTACTATACACAAAAAGTAGAGTTAAAATTATTGGTTCTTTAGCTGAAATAGAAATAGAAAGGCTTGTCAACTTTACCTGTTATCTGGCTTTGAATTTTCAAAATCAATACTTATTTGTACTCAGATTATCATTTTTTTTTTGTTGTTGTTGTTCTTTATCATGTTTTCAAGGCATTTGGTTTTGAGTGTGATTTTGTATCCACAATCTCAACTTGACTTTCCTATTTAGCCTTTGTTTTGGCACTTTATATTTTCGTATTGCATTGCAGCCATCACTCACTGGAAGCTGCTTTTTTCTTTTATTACCTGTTTTTAAGGATAGACCTGATAAAGTAAAGAAAACCAAACAAACCTTACACAAAATGGGAAATAATACTATCATTTACATATATAAATGAATCTATTCTTCTTAAGATTAAGTATTGGGTTCGCCGAAAATTTCGTTTGGGTTTTTCCGCAACGAACTTTTTTGGCCAACCCAAAACTTTTTCAGACACTGCTGCCTTTGTTCAAATAGTTTTGTTGCTCCTGTTTTAGAATTTTCTTTAGGGACAGCATACCAGGCATGCAAGGGAACTGGTTTCATTACCTCTATCACAGGCTGTTCTCTTTGTCTTGTTATCTTTTTCCTCATTTCTTGCTCCCTTGGAGCAGGTGTAGAACTCAATTGAGACTTGGAGTCAGTGGGAACACATTGGATTACAGATTACATGGAATTTGTTTATCATATCATTAATAAAATAATATATTTTTTGGTATTTTACCATATACCAGTGCTTTCCTTGCAAGTATTCATTTTATCCTCATGACAGGAAAGGCAGATGCTATTATTTAAAATTTCAGAGACTTTTAAGTGACTTTTCCAAGGTTACAGTGGTGGAGTTAGTACTACAATCTATCCCTGATGTCAGATCACATTCTCTTTCTCATTTATTCTGTGGCCTACCGTCATTTGTGTGTGGTTTACTTTCTGTAAATGGGTAGTGCCAGTGTAATTGACAGCACTGTAGATAATTTTGGGCAACCCATTGTGTGCAGACACTTTGAATACAGAATTGATAAGTTTACCTCTTTAGACTTGGGTATAAATGGAGAAGAGAGGTACTGAGTGCCAGGAGCAAGTGATATCTTCTGGAAGACTGCCCTGTCACAGTTCTTTTCCATTTGACAGGTTCAAGGCATTGACAGAGAAACAGATCTCCTTAGCGTTGGAGAGGGAGTCATGAGTGATGGAGCCATGAAAGAAATGGGCGGGAGAGAGCACACTTGGGCTGATTAGGCA